CATGCGCATAGTAAAAATTCAAATACTAATATCTAGAGGCAAAAAAAATAAATGTTTTTGAGTAATACTAATTGGTTATGATAATATCTTTTCAACAAAAGACTACTAGTGTTTGCCTCTTTTTCATTCATAGTGTTTCTAATTTTTTAATTTATCTGTTAAATTGATTAGCAAAAATATTCCTCCTTGGTACACATGTAAACATTACCTCTCTATAACAATAACCATGAGATTTTTAGACCAATATTTGACTGTACTTTAAAATAATTAAAAAAAAAAAGAAAAAAGGTGTAGAGCACAAGTTGTAACTCAGAAAGTAGTATTGCATGCATTAAAATATAGAAAGTCAAAGTAAGGAAGTTAATAGAAAAGGAATGGATAATGAATATGATTGGACCAGAATAGGGAAAGCAGCTGTATATATGTACAGTAGAGGTGCATGCTCCTTTAACTATGCCACAAAACACTCCCTCTTCCCAATATACTCACTCATGTTACTATGTTTAAAAGATTTGCATCAATTTTCCTAGTGGTGGATCACAGATGGCCCAAATCCTCCCTCATATTTTGTCTCAAAAAGGTGTGATGTATATATCTTGCTTGGGAAGGGATGCTATCAACAAATTAACTAAAAACAGTCCATTTTTCTGTGGGCGGCTTTGGTATTTCATGTGTATATACAAGTGTAGAGTCTCCTTTAATTTGCAATAGTTTTGTCAGCCTTTCAACACCCCAATTAAGGTAAGTTGCAACTTGCAACTAGCACGTGACAACCACACCTTTTTTGTTAACTAATTATGTATTCAATTTGCATTCTCCAAGGAATAAGGTTAAAATTAGAAAACTTCAACAAGTTAAGGTATTATAAAGTACTCAATAAACTTTAATTAGTAACCTGTGAAAAACAATAAGTTAAAGTACATTACAAAATTTTAAGTGTTAGAGTATGTAAGTCATAAAAAAACATGTCCTTTGCCAGAGCCACTTTGTTAAAATTAATGTCTAATATGAATATGTAATTTCTACACCAAAACTGCGAGCGATGAGATGCGTTTTCTTAAACAGCCACTTGATAGGATCAATATTATGTGATCATGCAAAATTTGAGGAGCAACATATGCCAACTTGTGTTTATTGTTATACTGCACTGCACTCACTAATTCTAATTTATTACTGTGTATCTATCTCATCTTTTTCTTACATTCACTCAATTGAGCACCGCCCCCTGCCTCCCCTTTAAATAAATGTTTCCTCTTTACGTTTCAAATACATTGTTTTGATAAGAAAAAAAATGGGAAAACTAAGGAAATACCCTATAAAAGCAAAATAATTACAAACATATACCCCTTTGGCCTTTATAATCATACCCCACTAAATAATTACATTATGTATCCCCAACTAATTTCGTTTAACTGATATTAAATTAGTATCATAGATATTGTATTGGTATCATAATGCTAATAATTTCGCTTAATTGATATTAAATCATTGTATATATATATACTGTATTGATATCATTAAGGTTTCTTATTCATAAATTACTCATTAGTCAATGATACTATAAGAGTATATATATACTCTAGGATACAAGAAAAGTGTGAATTATATGAGGATTTTCCTAGGGATTTGTATGAAAATCTGTAGGGAACTTATTTTCCTGCAAATTTTCATACTAATCCCCAGGAAAATCCCCATGTAATTCACACTTTTCTGATAGTGTCTTATAGTATCATTGACTAATGATTAATTTTTGAACAATAAGCCTTAATGATACCATTATATATATATATATATATATATATACACACACTCTTACAGTATCATTAACTAATGAGTAATTTCTAAACAAAATACATTAATGATACCACAACAATATACATGTACCACGACTCTAGAGCCTAAAGGGGAAAAAAAATTGACAAATATTTCAAAAGGGTATATCAAAAAATTTTTAACCAAAGGGGTAAAATCGCTGACCTACCAGCGATTTTGTCCAAGTTTTTTTACATTTTTTAAAAGAAAATCGCTGTCTGTGCAGCATTTTTGGGGATTTTTTTTTAAAAAATAAAATAAAAATCTCTGCAATGGCAGCGTTTTTTTAAAAAAAAATATTTTTAAACTTAAAAGTATATTAAAAATTGCTCCACAGGTAGCGATTTTAGAAAGAAAAAAAATCGCTGCCTTGCAGCGATTTTGGTGAAACTTTTTTTTTCTTTTTTTAGATTTTGGCGGAATTTTTTTTTTCTTAAAAATCGCTGAGTAGTTAGTAGTACTAGCCTTTGTCTATTCACGTTACTGATAAAAAAAGAAAAGTAAATTAATGAATGTAGGTTATAATTAACTTTCCGCTTATAGGAAACCACTTAAAGATTAAAAAAATAAAAAGCTTTCACCTTGGCAGCGATTTTTAAGAAAAAAAACAATATTTTCTGCCAAAATCGCTGCCAAGGTAGCCATTTAAAAAACAAATTTTGTTTTACTAAAATAGTTGCCATTGCAGCGATTTTGTTTTTTAAAATAAAAATAAAAAATCCCCAAAAACGCTGCACGGACAGCGATTTTCTTTTTAAAAATGGGCATTTTTTTTTGGACAAAATCGCTGATAGGTCAGCGATTTTGATTGTTTAACGAAATAATGGCATCAAAACAAAATCGCTACCCCATTAGTATTTTGCCCCTTTGATTAAAAAAAAAACAATATACCCTTTTAGAATTTTTGTCAAATTTTTTCGCCCTTAGGCTCTGGACTCCATATACCACTACCCAAACGAATGTAATGTTCAGATTGCTTAATCCAAAAGAAATGAACAACATGAAGCAACCGAATTAGCGGAATATGATTTGGATTGGATAAACAAAAAAAGTAAGGAAATCTGCTTCATACATACGCATGAGAATCATACAGTATTCACCGGCTTTGCGCAAAATCAGCTATTCCCGCCGCAAAGCACATTCTTTCTCACATTTTCTTTTTTGAGTTCATTATACAGATTAGTACTCCTTTTATTAAATAATCTAAAGAAGTAGTTAGCAATTAATTAATCCGTTTATGTTTTTAATATAAAATTCATATCATTGTACTAACAATGGAAAATAACTTAGTAGTCCTCGATACATGAACATGCTCCTAATCAGCTCGCATTTTCCACTTAATAATATTAACAAAATTTATAAAGATATATAGATACTTCGGATTGGATTCCCATGTGGGTAGTGTGGTTGTACTAATTATTTCCACGGCTCTGAATATATCGTGTCTCCGTATTCCTAGTTTTAATTGCATCCCCTACCAATTTTTTATTTTTTTTTGTTTTACCGTGTTGAAGTTAAAATTTTAACTTTATGATGAGTTTTAAATTTTATAACCATGATTTTAAGTGTTAATACTTGGGTTCTAAACTTAATATTTATATATGTTCAATAATTTTTTAATAAAAACATATTATTTGAGCAAAAGTTACCGACTTCTATTTCCCCGCCTTAGCTTCCAACCGGAAGTTATCCTCATTTCTTTATCCTTTGAGCATAATTTTGACTAAATTTCAACAATTCACCTCAATTTTCGAACATCCACAAGTACTAAAAAAATAAAAATATGTCAAAAGATTAAGTACTATCGGTTGCCTAATTCTTCTTACTATAATATATATAAATATGAATTTCGGTAGGGAAAGGAGGAGGATGGAGGGGGTTGATTAATTTGTTGACTACATACTTTAACAATTCATACAAGTCATTTTTCAATATATAAAGTTTTCGTGGATGAAATTTATCAGCAAGTAGTGAATTGTAATTGTTTCCGCCGTCAAAATGAATGGCAAGGACCGCTAAATCTTTAGTTTAAGATTAGTCAAAATGCAATTAGCACGCAATAAATATTGTGGAAGTAAATAGTATTAAAAGAATATTAGTCCACTAGAGCCAAGAAGGAGTGCAATTTGCAATATTGAAATGGACATGTAAATTGTAGTAGTATTATTCGTACTAACAAGTAGTGGCTAGTATTAATTAAAAAGATTAGTACTAAGAAGATGGCACTTAAGTAGAAAAATATGCGAATTAAGACTTAGTGGTGGCTAATTTTTTTTGCAAAATTATTAGTGTGACTTTTGGACACACCTACTAGCCATCATTCATGTACAATAATACTTTGAGAAGATTGATCAATTGCTGATCGAGACCTCTCTCTTTCCTTCTTTTTTTTAGTATTTTATTGATTGAGATGTTTAAAATGTGACCATGAATAGAGTATGGTACGTTCAACAAAGTCACTAGTGACAGGTTTGATAAACATCAACATCTCATTCTCGTGGGGATACAAATTTTAATTTTAGTACGTGAATGGAAAAGGATCTTAATAAGAATATCTAGCACACCTAACAAACACATTCCTAAATCTCTTTTTATTAAAATATTAGTATAAGACATTTATAATTATAATACTGATATATAACGGATAACTATCCACGCTTAGATGGTTACAAGTTAATTTCTCATATCACTTAACGAATAATGATAGTATATTCTTTATATCTCTACCGAGTTATATTACATTACTTGCAGTGTTGATCTACATGGTTGCCGTAACCCAAATTATTTCCTTGATCAATATCATTATATCAGCCACATCACTTGGATGTACACTCGTATTTCGATAAGATTTAAGTAAAAAATATCATGATTTTTAATTTAACCTCTTTATATTGACTTGCTGACATAGACAAAGATTCATTGGACCAAAATTGATTTAAGCAGTTTGGTAAAATTATGAAGAAAAATCTCTCTGCTATCACGTGTCCTTTTTTATTTTATTATTATTGCCACTCTCACACAACTTGTACTATTTATGATAAAACCAATAGGCGCATATATTCATTTATTAATACTTGTGGAAAAATTAATACCATAAAAAAAGATACAATTTGAAAGAAAAAAGTAAAGTTAAAAAATTCCCCTCACGCTATATATAGAAGTGGCGTGTGTAACAGAGTTAAATGTGAATTGCAGATATCTTCTTTCCTTCTATAACTGAAAAATCCTAAATTACCAAAATTTTAGCACAAGAAACTTCTATTTACAAAAAATAACAGAAATGGATTGGGTAAGAGGTGAAGCAATAGGCCATGGAAGCTTCGGCAAAGTTAGTTTTGCAATACCCAGAAAACAGAGCACTCAAGTTATGGTGGTCAAATCATCTACAGCTTCTCGCTCAGCTACTCTGAAGAACGAGAAGTTGATTTTGGATGAGATTAAGGGTTGCCCACAAATCATCAGTTGCCTTGGTGACAGCTATTCATACGAAAAAGGCGAAAAATTGTACAATGTCTTGTTGGAGTATGCTTCAGGAGGTGCCTTGTCGGAAAAGTTCAAGAATTCCGGTGATCGTAAGTTGCTGGAGATTGAAATCAGAAAATACACCAAGTCCTTACTGAAAGGGCTACACTATATCCACAAGTGTGGCTATGTTCACTGCGATATTAAACCGCAGAACATTCTTCTTGGCGAAGATGGTCAAGTCAAAATCGCTGATTTTGGGCTGGCAAAGAGAATTGAATCAATAAAAGACGATAAATTGAGATGTGAATTGAGGGGTACCCCACTATACATGTCGCCGGAAATGGTCACCGCCGGCGAACTAGATACTCCCGCCGATATCTGGGCACTTGGGTGTGTAATTGCTGAGATGGCAACAGGAGTTCCAGTCTGGGGATACTCAGATTTAGCCCAACTATTAATGAAAATTGGAGTTGGTGATGAGTTGCCTGAATTTCCGACGAAGTTATCGGAAGAAGGAAATGATTTTCTTGAAAAATGCTTCGTGAAGGACTCGAAAAAGAGATGGACGGCTGAGATGCTTCTAAAACACCCCTTTGTTGCTGATGAAGATGACACTGTTTTATTGAATGAAGAAAGATGCAACAGTGGCAGCCCTTCAACATCTCCAAGGTGCCCATTTGATTTCCCAGATTGGGTATCTGATGACTCTTCTGAATCATCAGTAACATATCCAATTACATCTTTGCCAATTCAAGAATTGCGGAATTTGAACGGCGGGTCATGGTCCACAACGCCGGCTGAAAGGCTGCGGGCATTGTTAAGTGGTGAAATCAGACCTGAATCTGACTGGTCGGCTGCTGATGGTTGGGTCAGCGTTAGATGATGTCAAATCATTTATTAAGGTTTTCGGTGATTAGAGTCAGATTTACAGAGTTCTGCAGATTTTTTTTTCAACTAGCAGCTCTGTTTTTTTAAAAAAAATTAACTTTAGAGAATAGCCAATATCTTTTTTATTTTTTTGTACATAAATGTCAGTTCATTGTATATATAAAACAGAATGCAATTATGGTATGAAATTCTACATGAAACAAAGAGTGTAATTGGGGATCACTGATGTTTATTTTGTTTCTTGATTACTAGGTTTTTTTCCCCCAAAATCATGGCAATGAAACTACTGTTTTCCAAACTAATTTTAATTAAAAATATTTGAGGATCAATAAATTTTATTTTTAACATAAAAATTTGACCTGGTTCTTGGAACTCGCCGTCATCTTTTGAAACATGGGAGCAGTATTAAAATTTAAAGTAGTACATTCAAATTGTGGAGGTCAAGGAAGAAAGTCTGCGTTTTAGTGATTTGCAGGTTAACAAAAAATGACTAGTCGTTTTGTTCATTTCTACTCCACTTTTTTGAATTTTGCACGTCTTTAAAAAACAATAATTCATTTCTAAATCAAGATTTTATTGAAAACGTCATTTTCTTAAGTTAACTTATGAGAATCAATCCTCCGAATTGCAATTTGCAAATAGAAAGGTCCCGAGGCAAGTTGAGAAATCCCATGCCTTTTTAGCCGCAAATAGTAGTAATTAATTACTCCATATGTTGTTGCCTTCATGCAATATTTGGGGAAGAACATGCCAACATGTGATTGCTACAATGCACTGCACAAATCCCATGATGTGATCTTTAATCACAGCTAGCTTCACTCTCACTTGCATGAGCACTGATCATGGCCTTTGTGCTGTGGACCCCACATTTTCATCTACTTATTTGTTTTGTGCATTGACATTTCCTTTGAATGGTGCAAATTGGGCCACAAAAATATTAAGCAATCTTTGGTACCCAAACAATGGTAAGTTGGAGCGGGAGCATTTAACTAGTATTTATTTCAAATCTACCCTATATTTGTTCATACAATTGAAATGGAATAGAGGTGGGACAAATCTTCTCAACTTTTGACTTTATATGTAGCTTAGCTTATGCAATTGGGTTCCTCCTATATGATTGTGATTGAATCTAAACTCGTCAAGTTTTCCAAATGCCAAGACAAAATGGAATTACTTCATCTGTTCAATAATAATTGTCCACTATTAACTTGTCGCACATCTTAAAAAGTAATAAATAATAAGGGTAGTATTATTATATTACCCAATGAATCGTATTTAATAACAACGGTAACATAAACACAAAAGTGTAAATTTTCTCAATGCACAAGTATTGTTAAAATATTGGCTGTAAACCAAAAAAGGCAATGACATTATGAGGGGTAAACCAAAAGGCTAGTATAACTGGTTTTATACGCAATAGATTGAACGGTTTCTGTTGTTACAAGTAAGGCAACTGCCCAAGTATTCTGTGCCTATTAACAGTAATCACAGGCAAGGCAAGGTTTGCGCAAAATCAGGTATTGGTGCCGGTGCGCCGCAAAGCTTCATACTTTTTTTAATGCAAGTAGAACTAGTTTAATAACATGATGGCTATAATTTGAAATTCAATGCTAAAAGTTCCAATTAAACCTCCAAGTGACTGCTGCAAGATATCTTATCTACACTAGCTTTACTATTTATAGATATAAAAAAAGGTGCAACTCCACGAAGCACTCCACGTTCACACAGGATCCATAATATGCATTACATCAACTTTGATGCAAAGCATTAGTAGTTCATTCAATGACTCAAACCCATGACTTATAGATCACACAAATTTAACTTTATCGTTGCTCCAGAACTCCCTTTCAACAAAGTTTTAGTAATTCCTAAGCATGAATTGGATGTCCTGGTATTAAGTAGTTGCTCAATTAGGCGTGTAAGCGACTAAATTTTGTGTACAAGGTGACATTTGCTTAAGAGTTTTGGTAAACTAGTTGTTGGAATTTAATTCTTTAAAAAGTAAAATGTTGTTTTTCAACTAAACATCCAGACTGAAAAAAATAACAAGTTTTTGTAAAAACTACTCAAAAACATAAATTCTTTCTTTTGTTAAAACTCTATGATCAACAAACGCCAAATAGTTCCACGTTATTGATAGACAGTGTAATGCCTGAAAATTGTGTGTTCGTATACTCCATTAATAACTTATTTATAATACTCCCCTCTATCCACATGTATATTACTTTATATCAAGGTCGTGAGACGTACTCTGCTTTTTAAATCACATGTTTTACGAGTTTGTTAGCACGTTTTGGAGGTTTGAAATCATGTCATACATCCTTCTCTTCAAAAAAGATTAATTAGTACTAAAATACAAAAAATCAGATTTCGTATCCATTTAAACAAGAGATTACCAATTTTTTAATACAATTAAATGAAATATAAAATTAATGATTAGCCAACCAATAGATATAGCTGTCGGTTGCTACATACTTCCTGCAAGATAGATATATATATATATCATAATTTAGATGTACAAATAAAAAATCTGGTTTGGTATGAATAATTCCATATAATGCTCTCCACTCCCCGCTCAGGCCCCTACCTACCCCAAAAATTTTAACATAGAAACTTTTCTACTCTTTTCACTTTTGAAATCAGCCAAATGCAACATTAGAACCATGAAGAGTGCCAATAATGCTGCAATTTGCATCAATAATATGGACCTGTAACAAAATACTATTCTCTTTTCAATATTACCTCAACTTGTGAGGCATTAAGAAAAACATTGAAAATTATAATTTAAATCATAATTATTTTTTACTATTGCCTTTTGTGAATTTATAAATATATATTCCCTCCGTTCCTATTTATATGTCGTACTTACTAAAAATAGATGATCTTTATTGTCATTTCATAAAATCAATACATAAATAACACTATTTTTCTTATTTTACCATAGAGAGTTATTAGTTTTGAAAATATGAATTTGACTAACATAGAAAAACTAAATGATTAATTCATGTTAATTGATCAATTTAATTAATCAAAATAAATTAACTTATGTTAATTTATTGAAAACATGCTTACAAAAGAACACTAAATAAAGGTACAATAGTAAACTTACCTAATTTTTAAAGGGAGTTAAAATCTAAAACAGTGACATATAAATAGAAACGGAGGGAGTAACTTTATAGTTAATGTAATTGTCTCTTAAAAAATATAAAAACTTCAACAAATGAAAGGACAAATATGAAAAAATTCAAATATTTATCTTAAACAATAAAAAAAACTTTAAAAATTTACTTGATACGAAATAAATGAGCTCACAATAGCAGCAATAGTAATAAAAGTGAGAGAATGCTAAAGCTTGTAATTTGTGTGCGGGAAAAAATATGAGTCAAAGATGCTGTGACTTTTGGACTCACCTATTAGCCGCAATGCATGTAACGAACAATTTGGAATGATTTAATTTAATTTACAATTTAACCATGATAGCAACTTTTCACCACTGTGTGGGTCTGATTTGAGATCTCTTTTGAATTTTTTTCATTGGGATGTTTAAAATGTAATTGTGAATAATAATTGAAAGGAATATGGGACGTGCTTATTTTTATGAACAAATAAAATGAGTGGTAGAGTATCCATTTCCAAGATTTCGTAACCATCACCATCCCTGCCTTGTAGGGTCAACTTTAAAATTTTGTATGTTAACAAAAAAATCCTTTCTTGTCTTATATATTTTCAATAAAGATTTATTCCCACATTCTCAATCGAAAGAGAAAAAAAAAGAAAAAGGCCAGCTAGCTATAGGATATTTTATAAAATTTATACAACGTTAACTAGTTTTTAGAGTTTCCATATTTTTGAAAGGGTAAAAAGATCGAGTTAGGAAATCTTCAATTGTGCAAACTAGATTTTTGAAAATTTCAAATATAACGCCACGATTATTGTATTCATTTAATCTGAACTGGCCATCATCTATTGAAAAAAGAGTAGTAGTATTGAAGTATTCAAATTTGAGAAAGTCGAAGAAAGATGGGATTCTCACTACCTTATCTAATTCCTGTGGGCTGTTTGAGTCTAGTAAAAGAGACAATTATAAATGTGTGTACATACTCTCCAATTCAAAAAGTTGAAAACAGTAAATTTGGTCAGACATTCAAATAAAGTAGGTGGTATCAACATGAGTTGTAGTGTAGTGGTACGATTCAAATATTCTAATCCAAAGATTTCAGATTTAATCTCTGGATAAGGAGAAAATTTTGTTGGGAGTGTCACTCAAAAATTGATCCTGCAATGTGTGATCAAGACTTAATCGACGCTCAAATATTGACTCTGGACACCATATGAAAATAAATGAGATTGTTGTAGAATAGAAATTAAATTAAGAAAAGTTAGGTATAATGAGAATCATCAGAAATGCAAATTGCAAAAGGAAAAGGTCCCGAGGCTATAGGCAAGTTGGTTTAGCCGCAAAATAGGAGCCTTGTACGTAGTTGATAAAATAACCAATAGTAAGGCAGAATCAATTACTATCTGTTGCCGTCATATACAATTGAACATGCCAACATGTGATCCTTACAGTTCACTGCACTTATTCCAATGATGTGGACTCATATTTTTATTAGGCTATAGTCACACTTTCATGTACACTGGCAGTGGCACTACCACTCTCTAAATATTTTATGAATTTTAATGTGTTTCAACTCAACAAGTGGTGATGATAATTTACTTTATGATTTCAAATTCTACTCAATGTAATCAAATATGGTAAGACCAAATGAATGAACATTTCATGTGTGTGTCACGAAAACGAAGGGCAATAAGCATTATTATGAGGGGTAAAGTAGAAAGTCGAAGCTGCCTTTATTATCTCCTTATTTATAAGCAATCAAAATGAGGGCTTTATCCTTAGCATTCTGTGCCTATAAACATCTTTTGCAACCGAAATCACCGGCAACCAAAGCTTTACCAAAATCTGCCGTTGCTGCTTTGCGGCGGAATATGACTCACCTTTTTTCTTTTCTTTTTTCTCACCTTTTGACTATTTTCCCCGTTTCAAAATAAATAGTGTTTTAATTTGGACATCCTATTAAGAAATTAGTTATCCTAGAATTGTTATTCCACCTTGAATATACGATAAAATAACATTATAATTTCAGAATAAGTTATCTACAATATTATTACAATCAAATATAAAATAAATTCATCTTAAAATTAATTCTCAAATTAATTATTCTTTAATATCTTCTAGTTGTTAATCATTAAGTGAAGAAAAAAAAGAACATAAATAGTGGGAAGCGTGGTACACTAATTATGTGTTCCATATGAAACATGGCGTGTGTCCATCCATACATAACTTATTCCTAATTTCAATAACCAACTCCACCAAAACCTATTAATCTCCTTCCGTATTGTTTAGCACAACATCGATTCATTATTTTTCATTCCCTCATCATTTCCGTAAAATTTGGCTATATTTCAGTATCTTGCTTTTAATTGCCCCCATTATGGATAAATTATACATCACTATCATATACTCCATTTGTCCACTTTTATTTGTCATGTTATGTTTTTTGAAAGTCAATTTGACTAATTTTCAAAGTTAAATTAGATTATATTAATTCGATATTTTAAACAAAAAAAATTAGATATTAAAAAATTATACGAAAAGTACTATAAATTGCAATTTTTTTGCGTATTAATATGATGAAATATACATCGTAAAATGTTAGTCAAAGTTCTTATCGTTTGACTCTAAAAAAGGAAACCATGACAATTAAAAGTGGACGGAGGGAGTAGTATATACTAATTTTATCTTTATTTTTGAACAATTACATATATTACCACTTTTAATATTTTATACCATATATTATTGAAGATACAATCAATATCCATATCCCTTATAACTAGGATTGATTAATTATCTTTACATTTAAACTCCAAAATTAGATCTTTCTATCAGAGAGTATGAGTTAGAGTAAAACTCAAATACTAATACTTCCTCTTCCTCTTCCGTTGATCAGTCAAAATTTATTGAGAATAAACACTCCATTAAAATGGATGTTCTACCATTTGTCAACACACATTAAATTCTTAGCCTTCTCAAACCAATCCATCATCCCCCCCCCCCCCCCCAAAGGGGAGACACCTCTCTCATGTAGAGACAATGGGTATCGTTGTAAGCAAAGATTTCAATCCCAATAGATTTATCAAATTCAACATTGACGATGTTACAGGTTGCATACCTTGTATACTATGGATCAACCAAGAAACTTTGTGTCACTTCTCCCGTTGGATCTAGGCGCAGTGGGCAACACCGATGAATCAAAAGGTGAAGCAAACATCGTCGCGGTGAGATGCCCTAACCAACCACTAATGTAATCGAAAAGTTTCAATAAGCGGAGATTTACACATGTATTTGACACATTATTGATGTATCTGATACATTATTGAGATACGATTATATGTATCTAGTTTTTATCAGTGTATCTTATTAAGTGTATATGTATTTAATGAATACATTGGAGATTTTTACTTATTATTGGAAATTTATGCATGTATTTGACACAATTTGTTCTGCCAAATATCCGAGTCTTGTTATACGTATATGGTCTTCTATCATGTATCTTAATATTATCATTGATAATTGATATATCAAATTATACATATAAAAGATACATGAAATAATATTAGATCATATAAATATATACATGAAATTAATATTAGATCGTATAAATAGATAATGAAATAAATACTAGATACTTCTATGATACATATGAATGTACTTGTATGATACTCATGTATCTAAGTGTGTAGTTTGTTGAATACATTATATATTGACAATAGATACATCAAATTAAGATACATTAAATTTCCATAATTAATTGTCCATATATTTTGAAAATTATCAATTACTCCTGTAATTAAGGAAATTCGTTCGACAGATACATGTATCTCGCAAAAATAAAATAAATAAATAATTAAGACCTAAACTAGTAGAATTTATGTAATTTGCCCTTTAATTATCTCATGCCTCCAACAACATGTTTACTCCAAAGTCCAAACTAATTCAACTTAATGTATTTAGTAAAGTACAATTAACTATGGCGGTTAGTGAAAAAAAATACATAATGCAAAATATATCTTATTGATTAGTGTGAACGCCGATAATGTACTACCGGTTGATTTTTATTAAAAATCAAAGTGGATCTTTCGTCAAACTCGTTCATCTAGATATAGGCGAATTTTCCTTCACAAATTATGCAAAACAAAATGTTCTATTAATCTAAAGTCCCAACTCCAAAACATGTATACATGTTTGACAAAATTTATCAATTCACATTAACTAGTATAAGACATGCAATACACCGGTCAATATTAAAGAAAAAGTAGACTTAGAAAATTATTATTTTATTTTTTTGAGCACGTTAAATCGAATTATTTCAACAAAATTATAAATGTCATTTTGTTTCTCCACTCAAGGTAGCAAAGGAACAAAAACTATTTTTCATGTCATAAAAGTATCATAACCATATAATTTAGGATACAACAATTTGAACATCATGATTCACAACTAATGGTAATTATGCATACCACTAATAATTATTAGGTTTGTTTTGTTATCATAAATAATCAAATTAAATGCAAATGTGTTTGAAATACTATTACACCAAAAATGATCTTTAATGATATTTAATTAAAAATAATAATTTAATTACCGTTAAATATTATTTATAATGAAAATTAACACTCTTTATAAATATTTCAAAAACTTATAACAATATTAAATCTAATAATAATAAACTAATGTTAATAAAGATTTTTATACTCTTTATTATATATATATTATCGTTAAAAGCAATTTTTATTATGACTTAAATTTGTAAATGATAGTAAAATGAGAAAGGAGCCCACAAGAGCTATGAAGAGTGCCAAAAAAATGGCGCTGCGACTTTTAGAGTTTTCAATTAGCCATTATGTTTATACAAACAATTTTGTACGATTCAAATTCAATTCACAATTTAACCGTGACAGAAACCGTCCACTTTATTCTCTGATTGAAAACTGACCTTTTTGTTCTTTTTTTTTTCTTTCCTTTTTTTGTATTTTGTTGGTTGAGAAGAGATGTTTAAAATGTGATCGTCAATTTTATTAATTTCTGTCTTTTATAAAAACATATACATTATAACTAACGGTAGAGTGGTCATTTAGGAGATTTCATAACCATCACCATCCAATCCTCGTGGGTCCGATTTTCTCAACTATTGATGTAATCAGTGAATTCAATATATATATATGTGAATCGTCTAAGTTCATTTTAACTTGTCGCATTTTAAGTTGAAGCCTTTAGGGGTGGACGACTTTTCAGGAGAAGAAGAAGAAGGTTGTAAAGAAAAGATTTATGATGAGGTTAATAAAATCTCAGAAAAACATCTTTATAAAATCTAAAAGATGTGATGGTCTTGCATCTACGGTTTTGGAGCAAAGTTCTTATGGTCTCGCTATTATCAGACCATCTTCCTGAGAAATGTTCTATTATATTAAGAACAAGGGTATACACAGCATTTTGGGTAAGATTCTGTTCTCCTTCTTGCTTTACCGCTTGGAGAATCTTATCCCTTTGCTTTTGGTTTAAATAATTATCCCACCAACCTTTTAGTTGATCAGTAAATTCAGTTGTTATCATATCAACAATAGTTTTATCACTATTCTTATTCGCCTTACAGATAGTGTTGTACATAAGCATTTTATGTATCGTTGTATAAATCTGTATAATTTTGAAAAATAATTTAGAAAGTAAATAATTAATAAACCAAAGGGTAAAATATGGAGATTTTTTTAAAAAAAAAAATGATAAACAAAAATAAAAATCTATTTTCAAAATAACGAACAACTAAAATTGATCGAAAAATAATTCATTCAAAACCAACCATTCAATGGACCAAGTTAATGTCAGTTGTCTTAGTAATATTAAGAAGAAACTCCTTAGTTTAGGAAAAGAAGAAGAAGAAATATCTTACAAATTATTTTTACTGTTAATTGTCTCTCTACAACTTGAGCTATTAATTAATTAAAAAAATCAATCTATGATGTGTTCATTCGTCACGGTTCACTCGTTATATGAAATTAACTTTGTAAAGAAAAAATAAAAAATAAAAAAATCCCCCGCACTATATATAGAAGTCCCCACTCCCCTGTGTGAAGTAAAGTTCGCGATTAATTGCGCGTTCCTCTGTTCTCTCCTTTCCTTTTTCAAACAAAAAGCCTAAAAATACCAAAATTTCAACTCAAAATACATCAATGGATTGGGTTCGAGGTGAATCAGTAGGGCATGGTAGCTTTGGCAAAGTCAATTTTGCAATACCCAAATTCCACAACACTCATATTCTTCCGTTAATGGTGGTCAAGTCATCTGCAGCTTCCTCCTCTGCTACCCTCATTAACGAGAAGATGATCTTGGATGAGCTTAACTCTTGCCCTTACATTATTCGCTGTATTGGCGACAGCTATACATACGAAAAAGGAGAAAAATTGTACAATGTCTTGTTGGAGTATGCTTCAGGAGGTGCCTTGTCGGAAAAGCTCAAGAATTCCGGTGATGGTAAGTTGCCGGAGAATGAAATTAGAAAATACACCAAGGCCTTATTGAAAGGGCTACACTATATTCACAAGAGTAGATATGTTCACTGCGATATTAAACCGCAGAACATTCTTATAGGCGAAGATGGTCAAGTCAAAATTGCTGATTTTGGGTTGGCAAAGAGTGCCGAATCAGTAAAAGATGATAAATTGCGAAGTGAATTGAGGGGTACCCCACTTTACATGTCGCCGGAAATGGTTACAGGTGGCGAACAGGGCACTCCCGCCGATATATGGGCACTTGGGTGCGTGATTTCTGAGATGGCAACCGGAGTTCCAGTGTGGGGTTACTCAGATTTAACCCAACTATTGATGAGAATCGGAGTTGGTGATGAGTTGCCTGAATTTCCGACGAAGTTATCGGAAGAAGGAAAAGATTTTCTTGAAAAATGCTTGGTAAAAGAGCCAAAAAAGAGATGGACGGCTAAGATGCTACTAAAACACCCCTTTGTTGCTGATGAAGACGACACTGTTACATTGAATGACGAAAGATGCAACAGTGGCAGCCCTTCAACATCTCCAAGGTGCCCATTCGATTTCCCAGATTGGATATCAGACGACTCCGCTGAATCATCAGTAACATATCAAATTACATCTCTGCCCTCGCCGGCGATTCAAGAATTACTCAATTTTAGCGGCGTGTCATTATCCACATCACCGGCTGAAAGATTAAGGGGATTAATGAATGAACTCACACAATCTGAATGGTCCGATGCTGATGATAACTGGGTCAGCATTCGGTGATGTCTATCTCTATTAAATATTCAAACTTTATTTTTAAAAATTGATTAATAGAAAATCCAGAGTAGTATTTAGATTTTCAGAGTACTGAAAGATTTTTTTGTTATCAGCTCTGATTTTTAATTTTTTTTTTAGCTTCTTTATCTGTAATTAGAAATTAAGCTCATTGTACATATATAGGTTGTAATACGATATCACTTTCAATATTAAGACAAGTGATTGGTACTAAACAAAGTGTACATTTTAAAAAAAAATCTTGAATAGCAATATTTAGTGAATGAAGTCATAAAACAACTTGGTTACTTGGAAAAATGGGAATTGTAGAATGGCAGTGGATGAGTTGAAGTTATTATTATTATTATTTATTTATTTTGGGCCAACAATGATCGATAGAATCAATATACGCAATCATTCAGTTTATCTTTTGCAAGTTGCAATTTTCTTCCATAAAATCATTAGCTCTGTATAGCCGAAAATCAGTAGTAGTATAAAGTGTTTCGATCAACTAATAAACGGATAAAAACCTTTCGGCATAACTTGCAATCAATAAATTCGTGATACATCCTTCCTATCCTTAAGATTGTGGGTGCTTGATTCAAAAATATAAAAAAGACATGTTAAAAATGAGATTCAAATTTGGATTCAACAAACACAAAAAAAGCCTTAAGCACTCACCCAAGAACAAACGGACAAGTTAAATCATTTGGTCATTGGGTGCTCTATGTTAATTTTATACAAATATTTTTTATTTCTACATAGATATATATATTCCGAGACGAGGTTAATGGGTGCTCGAACACCCGAAGTACACCATGTGGGTCCCCCCTGTCTACTAAATTTTCTTATTGAAAATTCTAATATCAATTAGGGAAGCCATGCAATTCTTATTCGAAAAGGCAAGACATGTGACGTGAGAAAAGATAATGGATATTCTTCTTTTTATTTCCTGAATAAAGAAATGTCAACTTGTGCAATCAATTTTGAAGAAAGGAATACAAATATAGTTGGTTAGAATGAATTATTTGCTACTCCATCTACAGTTGCAAGTGGCTGCTATGTCTTTGCAACTTTCTAAGCATTTGCAAATTGCAATATGTCAGGATTGAATTTAAACAATTCCAGTTGTTTTATCTGACATTTATCAGTTAAAAAGTTAGTTAATTTTCATATTTAATGATGTGTGACAATTGGACTAGGAATCTTTGCAACTTGAAACCCCCTTGATTAGGCATCTTTACATGTTCCCAATTTTACATTTATTACACAGATTTTCAAAGCCTAACTAGCCTAACAATAATAAGATAACTTTCCATCATTATTCTGACTAAATTACCCAATTTTAATCTTTAAGAACATGGGCCAAAGAATATTCCTTAAGCACCATTTTGATTCTTCTTTGGAGCTCAATTTACTTGGGGTTATTTGCAGTTAATTAACACTTGCTTGTGTTTATGAAATTTGTGTAAAAAAACCTCACTACGGCTATTTTAAACTGTTCACAGGTCATGCCGATTGACAAACTTGCTGCAACAAACCCGATTTCTCAATACATATACATAAACATTATATTCATTGATGACCAAATCTATCTATATATAAAAGGAGAAGAAAAAATGACACATGTCAACAGCACAAAATTTGCAGAATTTTAAATATTTTTAAATATTTAATAATCAATAATTAAATAAATAAATATAGACACATGTCAATAATTAGAATTAGAATGACACATGTCAACATCACAACAAATTTAACAATTTTAAAATTCAAAAATTAATTTAAAATGTTTTACTGTAATTATCTATCTTAAATTAACCAAAAAGAAATAAACGTTACTGTTTTTAATTTGGATTTTAAAGGAATCAATTTCCACGAAAACTATTTTTAAATTTGAATTTAAAATTTTTCTTTTTGAAATACAATTTTAAAATTGAAGTACAATTTAATATAATAATAATGATAATAATAATAATAATAATAATGATAATAACAATATAATAATAATAATCTATCTATATATAATAGGAGAGAAAAAAATGTCACGTGTCATTACCACAATTATTCTTAAATTTTAGTTTTAAAACTGATATTTTTAGTTAATTTAAATAATAAATTCAATATTAAAAACAAAGAACAATATAAAACATTTTTTAAAAAAACGTTTTGAAACTTAACATTTAAATTCAATTTTAAAAACAAATAACAATATAAAACTACTTTTTAAAAAAATCTATTTTGGAACTTAATATTTAAATTCAACTTTAAAAAATAAATAACAATATAAAACAATTTTTTTTTAAAAAACATACATTTTGCAACTTACCGTTTAAATAACACTAAAGCATATTTAAGCGATATACAAAATTGTAAAGAAATCTAAACATATCTAATTATCTATTCTTTTTTAACTTTTTTTTTTTTAAAATAAAAAATAAAAAGAAACTTCAACTATAAATAATTATCCCTAAAATTCCTCACCCACTTACTTAACTTTCTTCCCCAAAAAAACTCAACCGTATTAACTCACTAAATTTAAATACGGTAGTCTTTTCTTTAGTTTTCCAAGAAAAAAAAATGCATCTCAATAAAGGAAATTCAAAACAATAATAATCCTTACCATTCATGGAAAAGTAATTTTTATTATTTTTATTATTATCTTTTTCTTCTGTTTTATGTGGTTTACATTATCAATAATTGTACTTTATTTTGGAAGTTCTAGATGTTGAAGATCATCAATTGATGAAGTTACGATCAAGCCATTTATGTGATGAATATATGTTGTTGTAGAAGGAGAAACACTTTTAAGACTATATTTGATAACTATGTCAAGCATGTAATATTTTAATTTTTTTCATCTTATGTTTTGTTTTAAAATCAAACTGTGTTGATGTATTTACATATAATTTATGATTCTTTGCTTACTGCATATTTCATATTTATAATTCTTTAATCTTATCTTTTTTTAACATGCAGTTAATGATGAAACTATACTGGAAATTTTGAATTGAAAGATTAGAAGTATTTGAATTTGAAGATATTATATTTTCAAAAGAAAAAAAAATATTAACTTAATTAAAACTAGAAACTCATGTTATAGAATTCTAAATAAACTCTTACTATTTCACAAATTTATCTTTTCATATGTTAATAAATGTATTTAACTATATTTAATTTACATATAAATGAAGATAATAGTACTATCTCTCTATATTAATATAAATGAAAGTTGACATATATCTGCTTGCAATTTATTTATTTATCGGATGATGTTGAAAACGTTAATATGACAACAATTTCAACAACGACTACAATGATAATGACGACGACGTTGATGTAATCGATATTACAACAATGAAGATTAAAGTGGACAACAAAAGAAATATTAAGATGAGGAAGGAGATCAAGAAGAAGAAAAAGAAGATCAAGAAGGAACATACAATGACTGAAATGATAAAAGAAATACAACAAAGTACATCATCATTTTTCATTTTGGAACATTTCAAGATTATACTGGCAATGGTAAAGGAATAAACATTGATAGTTTCATTTCATCACCATAATGTGATGATTTGTATTTATTGGACTATCACACTTCATTCGTTCTTTAAATGTCCAGGTAAATATATCAATGTTATGTTGAAAATTCATAAAGTAAAACATAAATATAAGTGATAATTTGTAAATCGTATAATATATAATTTGCATAAACTTTCTTTTCTTTATAATATGTAAAGAGATAAGATTTATTACCCACAAAAGTTTTATGTGGGTAATATAGATTTTCTTATGTGGTTTTTTTTTTTTAATTGTTGTTTGTTAGTTTGTATTAAATGTGTAAGATTTGTTTATGAGTTCTAAAAATTACATTAAGTTATGGAGAAACATTTTATTTTGGCAAATTTTAAAAGATCTAAAGAAAGAGGAATATTTACGAAAAATTACATATTTTTGAAACAAATTAAAAAATAAATATATTTCCTTTTAATTTTTAAAACATTAAAAAATTTAAATTCGTTATTTTAAATAATAATCAAGAAATGAACAATTCCATGTAATTCTAATCATATTTTCATCAAATATAGCTAGGATATAAGAATGAAAATTAACTTAAATTAAAATAAAAGCTAAGTAAAGACTTTCACTAGCTATCCATGAATTATGGATCCCATTAATATGAAAATTGGGAGTTTTAATTTTTTTTAAAATACGTTATAATTTTGTGTTTAATTTTTTTTTAAAAATGTTTTAAATTTGTGTTGCAAATTTAGATAGGTGATAAGTTTGAAAATTAATTTAAGTGAAAAAATGATGAGTAAAGACTTTCACCAACTATCCACAAATTATGGAACCGTACTGTGAAAATTGATAGTTTTAAATTTATTTTATATTCTAAAAATATTAGCAATTTAATTCGTCTTTTTTTTTTGTTTTAAAAAAAAAGAGTTGTTCCAAGTAGTTATAACTATACTTTCATTAAATTTGGCTAGGAGATGATTTTGAAAATTATTTTCAATTAAAATAAAATACGACATAAAGACTTTCACCAACTAGCCATGAATTATGGAATCCTATTAACTGTGAAAGTTGAGCATTTTAATTTCTTTTTTAAAATAAAAAACTGACAATTAAATCCTAATTTTAAAAATAAAATATTTTAAACAATTTCAAGTTATAATAACCATATCTTCATCAAATTTGTCTAGGAGATAACTGCACACACAATTTGACATAATATCAACTTAAAATAAAGATATTAATGTTGTTATCTTTTTACTTTTTAGTTAATAAAAACAATGACAAATATAATAAAACTAAACATAGAATAAAATATTTAAAACATTAAAAATAATAATCAACCATTTGGATTATTTACAAATATCCAAAAGAAAAAACTATTTTTAAAATTACCTCAACTATTGTTTCTTTTTAATTTATTTAAAATTAATTTTTCTAAAAACTGACAATCTCAACAATATGTCAGTTTTACCTTTATATTCGGTTACTTCTTTTTTTAAAAAAATTACTTTTACTGGGGTTGTATTTATTAAGATTATTTTTACCTTAAATCAATTTTCTATCATATTGTACCACAAATTTAATACGGAAAAAAATTTGTAAAATCTTTTGATTTTCAATAAAATATATATAGAAAATGTATCAACATACCATCTAATCTTATGATATCAAATATTTCTTATGAAATGTTAGAATTAATAAATTACTAACATACTTTTTTATTCAAACAATATGAATAAAGTACAAACAAATAAAAATATTTGAAGTATTT